AATCTCTCTGAATTAGAAATCAATATCTCTGGAGTAGAAATCAATATCTCTGGAGTAAAAATCAATATCTCTCGAGTAGAAATCAATATATCTGGAGTAGAAATCAATATCTCTGGAGTAGAAATCATTCTCTCTGGAGTAGAATTCAATATCTCTGGAGTAGAAAACAAAATCTCTGGAGTAGAAATGAAACTCTCTCGAGTAGAAATCAAACTCTCAGGAGTAGAAATAAATCTCTCTGGAGTAGAAATCAAACTCTCTGGAGTAGAAACCAATATCTCTGGAGTAGAAATCAATATCTCAGGAGTAGAATTCAATATCTCTGGAGTAGAAATCATTCTCTCTAGAGTAGAAATCAAAAGCCCTGGAGTAGAAATCAATCTCTCTGAAGTAGAAATCAATATCTCTGGAGTAGAGATAAATATCTCTGGAGTAGAAATCAATATCTCTGGAGTAGAATTCAATATCTCTGGAGTAGAAATCATTCTCTCTAGAGTAGAAATCAAAAGCCCTGGAGTAGAAATCAATCTCTCTGGAGTAGAAATCAATATCTCTGGAGTAGAAATCAATATCTCTGGAGTAGAAATCAATATCTCTGGAGTGGAAATCAAAGGCCCTGAAGTAGAAATCAATATCTCTGGAGTAGAAATCAATATCTCTGGAGTAGAAATCAATATCTCTGGAGTAGAAATCATTATCTCTAGAGTAGAAATCAAAAGCCCTGGAGTAGAAATCAATCTCTCTGGAGTAGAAATCAATATCTCTGGAGTAGAAATCAATATCTCTGGAGTAGAAATCAATATCTCTGGGGTAGATATCAAACTTTCTAGAGTTGAAATCAATATCTCTGGAGTAAAAATCAATATCTCTGGAGTAGAAATCAATATCTCTGGAGTAGAAATCAATATCTCTGGAGTAGAAATCAATATCTCTGGAGTAGAAATCAATATCTCTGGAGTAGAAATCAATATCTCTGGAGTAGAAATCATTCTCTCTGGAGTGGAAATCAAAGGCCCTGAAGTAGAAATCAATATCTCTGGAGTAGAAATCAATATCTCTGGAGTAGAAATCAATATCTCTGGAGTAGAATTCAATATCTCTGGAGTAGAAATCAATATCTCTGGAGTAGAAATCATTCTCTCTTGAGTAGAAATCACAAGCCCTTGAGTAGAAATCAAAAGCCCTGGAGTAGAAATTAATATCTCTGGAGTAGAAATCAATATCTCTGGAGTAGAAATCATTCTCTCTTGAGTAGAAATCAAAAGCCCTGGAGTAGAAATCAAAAGCCCTGGAGTAGAAATTAATCTCCCTGGAGTAAAAATCAATATCTCTGGAGTAGAAATCAATATCTCTGGAGTAGAAATCAATATCTCTGAAGTAGAAATCATTTTCTCTGGAGTAGAAATCAAAGGCCCTGGAGTAGAAATCAATATCTCTGGAATAGAAATCAAACTCTCCAGAATAGAAATCAAAATCTCTGGAGTAGAGATCAAAATCTCTCTGGAGTAGAAATCAAAATCTCTAGTGTAGACATCAAACTCTCTAGAGTAGAAATCAATCTCTCTGGAGTAGAAATCAATATCTCTGGAGAAGAAATCAATATCTCTGGAGTAGAAATCAATATCTCTGGAGTAGAAATCAATATTTCTGGAGTAGAAATTAATCTCCCTGGAGTAGAAATCAATATCTTTGGAGTAGAAATCAATATCTCTGGAGTAGAAATCAATATCTCTGAAGTAGAAATAATTCTCTCTGGAGTAGAAATCAATATCTCTGGAGTAGAAATCAATATCTCTGGAGTAGAAATCAATATCTCTGGAGTAGAAATCAATATCCCTGGAGTAGGAATCAAAAGCCCTGGAGTAGAAATCAATATTTCTGGAGTAGAAATTAATTTCCCTGGAGTAGAAATCAATATCTCTGGAGTAGAAATCAAACTCTCCAGAATAGAAATCAAAATCTCTGGAGTAGAGATCAAACTCTCTGGAGTAGAAATCAATCTCTGTGGAGTAGAAATCAATATCTCTGGAGTAGAGATCAAAATCTCTCTGGAGTAGAAATCAAAATCTCTAGTGTAGACATCAAACTCTCTAGAGTAGAAATCAATCTCTCTGGAGTAGAAATCAATATCTCTGGAGAAGAAATCAATATCTCTGGAGTAGAAATCAATATCTCTGGAGTAGAAATCAATATTTCTGGAGTAGAAATTAATCTCCCTGGAGTAGAAATCAATATCTTTGGAGTAGAAATCAATATCTCTGGAGTAGAAATCAATATCTCTGAAGTAGAAATAATTCTCTCTGGAGTAGAAATCAATATCTCTGGAGTAGAAATCAATATCTCTGGAGTAGAAATCAATATCTCTGGAGTAGAAATCAATATCCCTGGAGTAGGAATCAAAAGCCCTGGAGTAGAAATCAATATTTCTGGAGTAGAAATTAATTTCCCTGGAGTAGAAATCAATATCTCTTGAGTAGAAATCAAACTCTCCAGAATAGAAATCAAAATCTCTGGAGTAGAGATCAAACTCTCTGGAGTAGAAATCAATCTCTGTGGAGTAGAAATCAATATCTCTGGAGTAGAAATCAATATCTCTGGAGTAGAAATCAATATTTCTGGAGTAGAAATTAATCTCCCTGGAGTAGAAATCAATATCTCTGGAGTAGAAATCAATATCTCTGGAGTAGAAATCAATCTCTCTGGAGTAAAAATCAATATCCCAGGAGCCGAAGAATGTAGACATGGAGTAGAAGTAAGTAAATGCGTCGTAGAAGTAATTATCCATGGAGTAGAAGTAAATAGACTCATGGTAGAAATAAGTAGATATGGGATAGAAGTTAGTAGACCTGGATCAGAAGAAAGTTGGCCTGGAGTAGATAAAAATAGATATGTTGCAGTAGTAAGTACACTAGTAGTAGAACTAAAAAGACCTTAATTTAAAGTAAGTAGACCTGGAGTAGAAGTTCGTAGATATGAAATAGAAAGAAAATATTTTTCTGAGTGAGTATGGTTTAACGCCGCTTTTAGCAATATTCTAACAATATCACGACGGGGGGACACCTGAAATTGGTTTCACACACTATACCCATGTGGGGAATCGAACCCCGGTTTCCGAACGCTTTAACCACTGGGCTACCCCATCGCCCCTATTTTTGTCTGAAAACTTTGATATTGAATAAGCAACGGCTAAGAGTAACCTGATGTCATGCGTCGTTCATGCAACCAAACATTGTCTGTATTATGGGCCTATGGCCATTTTCTGAATAAACTGTCTGTCTGTCTGTTTGTCTGTCTGGATAGAAGTAAATAGACCTGGAGTAGAACGTCTAATCAAAGATTAAATTTTGAAACAGAAGACGCATGGATATGAAAATACAAAATTAGTGAAAACGCATACAGACAAAACATCACTACGGGTAAAAGGCAGCTAGTGTATAATAAATGTCACCTTCAATATTCCCAAAGGCCAGAGGCTATAATAAACCTGAGAAGTTTCCATGCAAAAGTTCAAACAGATACTGAATTTCTCAACCTAAGTCCATCTGTAAATTATCCATATAAATTATAAACGTCTGGATAGCTGCCTAAATCGGACAGCATGGATATACTGGAAATATAATCTGCAGTACATGATAATCCAGTACAGAGACGTAACATTTCCTCAGGTGATACCTCAAACTGCCGAGTTGTAATACCTCTCGTTCACACGTCTCTGTGTGTGTCTCTCTCTCTCTCACGTACTGATATGTCTCTCTCTAGAGCCTCTCTGTATGGCTTTCACGTCTCCCTCTGTCTATTCCACGTCTCTGTGTCGCTCTCCGTCTCTCTCTGTGTCTGACTCTCTCTCTCCATGTCTATCCCACGTCACAGCATCGCTCTCCGTCTCTCACTGAGTCTATCTCACGCCTTTGCGTCGATCTCAGTCTCTCTCTGTCTGTCTCTCTCTCCGTCTCTGCGTCGCGCTCCGTCTCTCTCTGTCTGTCAGTCTGTCTGTCTGTCTCTCTATGTCTGTCTCTCTCTCTCACATACACCCTGTCCATCTCACATCTCTGTGTCGCTCTCCGTCTCTCCCTCTGTCTGTCAGTCTGTCTGTCTGTCTCTCTATGTCCGTCTCTCTCTCTCACACACACCGTCTATCTCACATCTCTGTGTCGCTCTCCGTCTCTCTCTCTGTCAGTCTGTCTGTCTGTCTCTCTATGTCTGTCTCTCTCTCTCACACACACCCTGTCTATCTCACATCTCTGTGTCGCTCTCCGTCTCTCTCTCTGTCAGTCTGTCTGTCTGTCTCTCTATGTCTGTCTCTCTCTCTCACACACACCCTGTCTATCTCACATCTCTGTGTCGCTCTCCGTCTCTCTCTCTGTCAGTCTTTCTGTCTGTCTCTCTATGTCTGTCTCTCTCTCACACACACACCCTGTCTATCTCACATCTCTGTGTCGCTCTCCGTCTGTCTCTCCCTTTGTCTATCTCACATCTCTGTGTCGCTCTCCGTCACTCTCACACTCTCTCTCTCTCTCTCTCTCTCTCTCTCTCTCTCTCTCTATCTCTCTCTCACGTATCTGTGTTGTTCTCCGTCACTCTCACACACTCTCTCTCTCTCCCTTTTCTCTCTGTCATACTCTGGCTATCACACGTCTCTGTGTCGCTCCCACGCCTCTCTCCCTTGTGTCTCTGCGTGTGTCTATCTAACGGCTCATTGTATGTCTCTCACTTCTCTGTGTAGCTCTCACGTAGCCCTCACGTGGCTCTCACGTCTCTCTCTCTCTCTCTCTCTCTCTTTGTGTGTCTCTGTGCGAGGCTGTCACGTCTCTCTGTCTGTCTATCTTACGTCCGTATATGTCTCTCACCCCTCTCTGTGTCGCTGTGACGACTCTCTGTATCGTTCCCACCCCTGTTATAAACGCCTCACCTCACACAATGTAGGCTATCTATAACTATCAATACAATTTCACAGACAGACAAGGCTGTTTACAACCTGGCGTGTCTCAGTGAATGGCATCCATTAATATATACATTTAGGCAAACAGGAAAAGCCAGTTAGGTAATGCTCGACAAGTAACATCACAGATCTGTGTCTACCTAACACGTTGGCAAGTACAGAAGTTAGGATAGTTCCAGTAATGAAGGGAATCAGAAGATATGGGGTTCTACCTCTCCTTGCCTGTATTGCTTTACTTCTAGCCGAAATTCTGCAGATTTTGTCATTTGCTGCTCCATTCTGGGCTTGGGATTCCTCTGCGTCCTTTGGGACGGCTGTCGTGTTTGAGAGGATCCCATGACGGATGTATCCAGTTTAACTACCCATGGCACCTGAGAGGTGAGTAGGCCTCAGTATGATGAATGTTTCGTAGAGGTGGGTAGGATCGGGTTGAGCATCTATCACAATATGATGAATGTTACGTAGAGGTGGGTAGGCTCAGGTTGTGCAACTATCACAATATGATGAATATTACGTACATAGAGGTGAGTAGGCTCGGGTTGAGCAACTAGGCTCAGGTTTAGCACCTGTCACAATATGATGAATGTTACGTAGAGTTGAGTAGGCTCGGGTTGAGCAACTATCACAATATGATGAATGTTACGTAGAGGCGAGTAGGCTCAGGTTGAGCAACTATCACAATATGATTTATGTTACGTAGAGGTGAGATGGCTCGGGTTTAACAACTCTCAGAATATGAACAATATTACGTAGAGGTGAGTAGGCTCAGATTGAGCACCTGTCACAATATGATGAATGTTACGTAGAGTTGAGTAGGCTCAGGTTTAGCACCTGTCACAATATGATGAATGTTACGTAGAGGTGGGTAGGCTCGGGTTGAGCAACTATCACAATATGATGAATGTTACGTAGAGGCGAGTAGGCTCAGGTTGAGCAACTATCACAATATGATGAATGTTACGTAGAGGTGAGTAGGCTCAGATTGAGCACCTGTCACAATATGATGAATGTTACGTAGAGTTGAGTAGGCTCAGGTTTAGCAACTATCACAATATGATGAATGTTACGTAGTCTAACCGCGTTTTAAACTTCAGAGTAAGTGAATGAGTAGGTGAGTAGTGTTTTAAGCCGCAGTTTGTATCATTCATATCACGACAGGGGTACATCGATAATTGGCTCCTTACGTTAAACCTGTGAGGGCATTGAACACGGGTCTTTGGCGTGACGAGCGGACACCTATCTACATGATTACCCTACCACTCCTCTTACTCTCCAAATTTTGGCCATGGTTGATGCATTTGTTCCGTCATCGTGTTGTACCGACATTATCACCATCCCGTGTTGAATAAGCTCTGATTCTACACCTCCGAAATTATCACAATGCGCCACTAGCAATCACAATATACTTGCTAAGCGTATCACAGGAATGACATGCATGTCATCTAACTATAAGGAATACTTAGCGTTTTAGCATGCATGACCTCAATCATACCTAACAGCGGTCTTTCAGATATATTCCACAATGGCCCTGTTGCCGTGCTCTGTCGATTCGGGTTATAATTGTCAGAAAAGACATATTGTGACAAATTGTATACGATAGGCCCCGCACAGGTCCTCACAATTTGAAAAGAATCGTTAAGTTATACAGAGTGGCGTCAATCTCCTTAGAATGTGTCAGTACACGCCGTCTGTACAAGCTGTCTGTACACGCTGTCTGTACCGGCTGTACAATGAAACACATACCACTAAGACTCGTTTCAAATGCGCATAATCTATTTATAAGGTTCATGTTTTATACACGAACTCAATCTGCACAGTGATATTCGCATTTGGCGTTTGGACAGTCATTTATCGTGAGATATTTCATGTTCCCAAACTTAAGGTATTATGATAACGTAGGATAATTAATGTTCCCAAACTTAAGGTATTACGACAACGTAGGATATTTCATGTTCCCAAACTTAAGGTATTATGATAACGTAAGATATTTCATGTTCCCAAACTTAAGGTATTACGACAATGTAGGATATTGCATGTTCCCAAACTTAAGGTATTATGATAACCTTAGATATTTCATGTTCCCAAACTTAATGTATTATGATAACGCAGGGTATTTGATGTTCCCAAACTTAAGGTATTATGATAACCTAAGATATTTCATGTTCCCAAACTTAATGTATTATGATAACGCAGGGTATTTCATGTTCCCAAACTTAAGGTATTATGATAACCTAAGATATTTCATGTTCCCAAACTTAAGGTATTATGATAACGCAGGGTATTTCATGTTCCCAAACTTAATGTATTATGATAACGTAGGATATTACATGTTCCCAAACTTAAGGTATTATGATAACCTAAGATATTTCATGTTCCCAAGCTTAAGGTATTATGGTAACGTAAGATATTGCACGTTCCCAAAGTTAAGATGTAAAGAGAACGTAGGATATTTCATGAGTCTCAAACTCCTGACATGACTATTATGACCTACAGATACAAGTTTTAATATCATAACTTAAAAAGTTAAACAATCAAAACAGTATATATATTTTTGGGTGAGT